TCCACCACACTTTGGGGCAGTGTAAACAGCTCCCTACTCTTACCTTCAGCTCTTTTGTAGTCCTGTCTTGGACTGAGAAAGTGAACAAAAAACACCTTCCCTCTCCCTTGTCTCCCAGCTGTCTTGTCTATTTTATAGAGGAATATAATTGACCCCTGTTTCCAAAGAATTTACAAAGAAGTGTACATAGTCCCAAAGGTTGGGTTTACTGGCAGGACAAACAGAAGACCCATATGACCTTATTTATGAAGTAAGAGAACCACAAGGGCTATGAGCTTAATTCTTCCAAAAAAAAAGTCAGTAGTTTTGGCATGAGGACGAGATGGCCTTGGAGAGATCCCAGTTGCATTTCCGTTTAAGCCAGGAGATGACAATATTTATTTATCTCCCAAATTCCAAAGAACCCTGGAAAGCAGCCAGCCTTATAGCAAGAGCAACCCAATTTAGGGCTTTTCAAATAAGTGTTACTGAGGCAGTTTCAAGAGAATTAAAATACTGTGTCCTGACCCATCTGCTATCTGTCTCCTATCATGCTATTTTTCTGACTAATTTTAATCCTCACAGCAGCACTCTGATGTGGGTTAGGTTATCTGGAATAATAATGTCTAGGCCAGTGTTTCTCAGCTTTCCTAATGCCGCGACCTCATGTTGTGGTGACCCCCAACCATATAATTATTTTCATTGCTACTTCATAACTGTAATTTTGCTACTGTTATGAATCATAATGTAAATATCTGAGATGTATTTTCATTCACTAAATTTGGCACAAATACCCGATACACCCAAATTTGAATACTGGTGGGGTTCAGGGACTGATTTTGTCATTTGGGAGTTGTTGCTGGGATTTATAGTTCACCTACAATCAAAGAGCATTCTGAACTCCACCAACGATGGAATTGAACCAAACTTGGTACACAGAACTCCCATGACCAGGCAAAAATACTGAAGGGTTGGTGTGCATTGACCTTGAGTTTTGGAGTTGTAGTTCACCTACATCCAAAGAGCACTGTGAACCCAAACAATGATGGATCTGGACCAAACTTGGCACAAATACTCAATATGCCCAAATGTGAACACTGGTGGAGTTTGTGGAAAATAGACCATGACACTTGGGAGTTGTAGTTGCTCATCTCACTACAGAGCCTAAGCTGTTCACAGGAATGTAAGTAGACTAACATGGGTTTTGAAAATCCCCTTAAACATTGGGGTGTTTGGGCATTTTAATATACCTTTTTGTTTTATATATTGTCTTATTTCCTATCTAGTGGATCCAAAGGCTATAAATGCAGATAGGAACTTACAACAGAGCCAATAGACTACTCATTAGAATGTAAGTAATCAAGTGTGTGCATCAATAACCTTTTCAAAACTATGCCAGTTTGGGGATTTTAGTATTTATTATCTGTATGTTGCTTTATTTTTTCTTTAGTAAATTCAAGCATCATAGATAAGAATAACACCCAAAGAAGATATTACGAAACAAGGGAAACAACCTGGGAGACCTTGTTGTGTTACTGTTCCTGACGTTACATATTGATGAAGAACCTTCTACAACATAGAAATTGTTATTTTGGAAAATGAAATCTCATTATATTGCATTTAACAATATTTGAGTTACTATTTCTGACGTCATTATGAAGAATCTCCTGGTATATAGTAATTGTTATTTTGGAAGCTTAAGTTTCATTGTGCTGACAAAAAAATTGATAAACAATTTTTCATTTATAAACAGTTACTAATTAATCATGTTAATGTTCCCAAGTTACGTTTAATGAAGAATTTCCTATGCCGTTGCGCCTGGGGGCTATAACTCTTAGTGAAAGAGACATAGACGTGACATCTTTCCCCCAGGGGATTGCTTCTTGCCTTCCTTTAGAGAACTGGAACTCCCAAGGACCAAAACACTGTAGATAACTCAAAATAGGTTTTATTGTTCACAAAGAGTTATCCTTTTAAGGCAATAAGCTGGAAGTTTCAAAGGGGGTAAAGGAAATATACATTACAGTCTCTGGTTGTCTTGGGTCCAAGGAGATTTGCAGCTGAGAAGCTTTTCCAGGTCCCTCTTTGAACATTCACAGCCCCAATCCAAATGGCCTATATTTTGAAGGCACGAAGCTTTCCTCTGGTGCCACAGGACCGGTTTGAAGGCGCTTGGGTCTCCTCAACGTTGTCCAGGGCGATCTGGGCATGAAGTATGAGTCCCAAGGGTAAAAACCTTAGAATTGGTGATGAGAGGTAACTTAATTAAGGGCTTTAGAGCCAAGTCTCTTTCTCACATCTATCTGATAGAAAGTTTGATGGTAGAATGGAAAAGGAAAAGCTCTGCCCTCCTCCAGGAAGAGGTGGAGCCAAGCAATTGAGCTGAGGAAGCAATATAACTGGTGCAAACAACATTGATTGACAGCTATAAATAACCAATCAATCCAACTATACATTTACAAATAAGCAAGTATGGGCATGTTATACAGTTTAAACCTTTGCACTTTAAAGTTCTACACACAGGTAGCGCCACACGCACCGTCACATTTCCTGTAATATAGAAATTGTGATTTGCAATCTGCAGTTTTTGTATTTGGGATTTATAGTTCACCTACAATCAAAGAGCATTCTGAACCCAACCAATGATAGAATTGGGCCAAACTTCCCACACAGAACTCCCATGACCACCAGAAAATACTGGTAGGTTTTGGTGGGCATAAGAAAGACGGAGCAGGCTTTGCTTTCTGCTGTCCTGGAGACTGGAACTCAATGACCTTGTGTTTGGGAGTTGTAGTTCATTTTGAATCCCACCAGTGATAACATTGGGCCAAACTTCCCACACAGAATTGCCATGCCTTGAAGAAACTCGGTGGCACGAAGCTCCCTCCAGCCCCACACACACTCCCTTGCCCACACATGTGCACCATGCTGCCATGTACCAAGCACGCCTGCTCTCCCATCCCTGCTTGGAGTCTTAAAAACAGCCCTCCCCTTAGCTAAGAGGCTGGCTGAGAGGCTGGCCAATCACAGTGGAGGAGGGCTTTTGGTGGAAGGATTTGCTGTCTGTTTCCAAAAAGGAAGAGGACAGAGAGAGATCTTCAGCCTTCTCTCCAAAGGGGTTCCTAAGGCCACCAGAAATATATGTTTCTGATGTTTTTTGGTGACCCCTCTGAAACCCCCTTGCGACCCTCCCACAGGTTCTGACCCGCTGGTTGATAAATGCTGAAATAGAGGAATAGGGTTGACTCCTGTTTTCAGTGAATTCCTTGAGAAATTTACATTATAAATAGACTGAATAATGAGTATGAATAAATCTGGGCAAAACAGAAATATTCACAATAATTTATAAGGAAGATCCAGAAACAGGGGTGTGGCTTGACTTGGAATAGGTTACCGCCTCCCCGAAATCTTAGGTTCAAAGATATGGCATACTTCTGGACTGTGACTTCTGGACAGTGTAGACTCACATAATCTAGTCCAGTCTGCATTATAGAAATCTACACTGACCATATAATACAGGTCAAATTACATTATATGGTAATGTAGATGAGGTCTCAGTTTCCAACCAAAAACCCATACCAATCTCCAGACATAAGTCCTATTTGAGCTGTTTTGTAAACCTTCAGCTCAACAACGGATTGTGCTTCTGAATTAGTAGCTAGAGGGCATTAAAAGTTAGTAAGGAAGCATCTTATAGCTCTCATAAAAACCATGAGACATTCTTGCTAAATGAAACTGAAAGCATGGTGGTATCCAAGATGCTATCTTTTTTTTAAAGTTTAGATTTTGCCTCCAGCTTCCACTGCAGCTCAAACTAATGGAATTACAGATCTTCAAGACCATTTGTATGTTATCCATGTTGTTGGTTCCGCATGTTACTGTGCGCCTTCAAGTCAACAATATAGAGAACATGGGCCTGTCCAGACAGTACCTTTATCCCAGGAGCTTCCACAGCAAACAGGAGGGTGGCCAGACACCATTCCCTGCAAACATGGACGCAATTGCTACAAAAGGCAAAATATGGGAAAATTGTGGTTTTGATACGTATGACCGGGCTGTGGTGTAGCCAGTTAGTAGCCAGCTGCATTAAATCATTACTGACCAAGAGATCAAGAGTTTGAAGCCAGCCCGGGTCGGAATGAGCTCCCAGCCCTTAATAGTCTAGCTGGCTGTTGACCTATGCAGCCTGAAAGACAGTTGCATCTATCAAGTAGGAAATTTAGGTACTGCTTTATGCGGGGAGGCTAATTTAACTAATTTATGATGCCATAAAACCTTCCAGCAGCATGCAGATGAATGAGGAAGTGCTCTATCAAAGGACTTGGTGTCATAAATGGATGGTGAAGCAGCAGCTCATCCTGTGGCCAGAATTGAGCATAACCTCATGAATCCAGAAAAGCTGGAAGGTTAAATTGCCTCTGTGTCTGTCTATATATGTTGTATGTCTAAATGGCATTGAATGTTTGCCATGTATATGTGCATTATAATCCTCCTTGAGTCCCCTGCGGGGTGAGAGGGGCGGAATATAAATACTGTAAATAAATAAATCAATCTTCGAATGTCTGCATGTCCCTGTAATCAGAAATCAAAGGATTTTTTTTATCTAGGTTTCTTCACAGGTTTTAGATGTTTGGTCCTGATTGGTCTGTTTCTAAAAAGAACGTGACACTTGAGCAGAGGCGGCCCTAGGTAATTTTCAACGGTAAGCAAACAGTATTTTGGCGCCCACCCCCCAACCAATCACTGATATATATTTTCTGTTCGTCGTGGGAGTTCTGTGTGCCATATTTGGTTCAATTTCATCATTGGTGGAGTTCAGAATGCTCTTTGATTGTAGGTGAACTATACATCCCAGTAACTACAACTCGCATATGTCAAGGTCTATTTTCCCCCAAGAGGCCTCAAGAGCGCCCCTGGGCAAAATCAACTATACTGCAAATGCTTACTTTGTGTAATGGGTTGAGCCGCCCCTGCACTTGAGTGGAACACGAAAACTTTGTGTGTTCAGAAAACATGTGGAGGGCACATTTTCTCTGGCCAGGACAAAGCTGTGGCCCTGAGTCAATGGTGTACATCTTTTCACACGAAGAGCAATCAGGAACAAGCATGTATAACCCAGGAACAGCACCCCATTGTTTGATGCCACAAATACACAACCAAATCTGTCTGGACAGATGGTCAGGCAGCCAGGCTCTAAAAAGTGTCAATAATGACAAAGTTCTGTTCCTGGCTTGAAAATGTGTA